CTTAAATAACATATTTTATATAACCCAATATATCCAAAATATTAGTTTCAACATAAAATTATATAGTTTCATTATAAAATTATTTAAAAAAATTTTTGCACAAAGTCTTTGAAATCTATTATGTAGTTTGTACTTACATCTCAGTTTATTCCAGCTACATTTCAAGTATTTGATAGTCACATGTAGCTGGTGGCAGTGCAGGCATAGAGTGTGCTTCACACCTGACTAGTCAGAGACAACAGAATGTTGGACCCTGACATCTTGGCTCACTTCCTTGATTTTTCTTATACCTTAAATTAGAAGTCATTGTTTCTACACCAGTTTGGAGACATATTCCTAACCTCACAGGTCACAAGAATTGCATTGCAGGGTCTGTGAAGTCCAGCTGCCCAGTAACTTCCACCTGCAACACTCTCCCGTAAGGTCCTTGTTGAGTCACCAGGTACCCCCAGCTGCTAATCCAGTGATTTTCAGGAGTCATCACCCTGGCCTCTCTGCCATACCCACCACTGCTAACCTCTCTCCTTGACTCCTCTTTCCTGAATTACTTACTACCTCTCTGGTTGATTTGCCTGTCTTCTCTGTGACTCCCCATTCCTCATACTTCCTTCCACATTGTCAGTCTCCTGGGTGCTGCCTGTTGCCCTCTTACCCTCTTACACTACATGGGGGAGACCTAGGTAATCTTTCTCCACTCTCATCAATTTTACTTTCAAGGATCTTGTTTATTTCTCCAGTTCCACACTCTCTTGAACTCTGCACTTAAAATATCTATCCATCTGCCTATTGGAAATCTCTCTCCATCAAAGACCCCAAAGACATTGAGAATTCAAAAGACAAAATTATACCAATCATCTTTTCCCTCAATGTATATTTCTCCATTTGTATTATTTAGTACTTTAAAAAATAGATTTTTATTGATTTTTTACAGAAGAAGGGAGAGGGGTAAAGAGTTATAAACATCAATGAGAGAGAAACATCAATCAGCTGCCTCCTGTACACCTCCCACTGGGGATGCGCCCACAATCAAGGCACATGCCCTTGACCAGATTCGAACCTGGGACCTTTCAGTCTGCAGGCCGATGCTCTATCCTGAGCCAAATTGTCAGGGCCATTTGTATTATTTATTTGGTGAGTGGCATCACTGGTTATTTGGACATTGAAACCAGAAACCTGGGATCAACTTGACTCCTTTTGTTCACGGAGGAGTGAGCTATTATTACTGAGTCCCATTAATTCCGTATTCTAAAGAATTCTGCCTCTTTACCTCTTGACACAGCTTAAGTTTGGTGCTCACCATTTTTGCCTGGGGCTATTACAGTGGTTCTTTGGACTTTCATGATCTGCCAGTAAAGTGTAAGTCCATGAGGGCAGGCATTCCTGCTTCCCAGTCCTAGAAAGATACCTGGCACATAGCGAGCACTCAGTGAGTATTTGTTGAGTGACTATATGAATAAATGTTTGTTAGTCAATCCTTCCAGCCTCACTTCCCACACCGTGTATGATCCTCACTCTACAGTCCTGCTTGAGTGTTTAGACTTCTAAGTGAGTTATGTCTTTGCACATTTTTCTCCTTCTGCCTGAACATGCTTGGCTCACAATTACTTATTTTTATTTTTTTTTAAATTTATTGATTTTTTACAGAGAGGAAGAGAGAGGGATAGAGAATTAGAAACATCAATGAGCGAGAATCATCAATCAGCTGCCTCCTGCACACCCCTCACTGGGGATGTGCCCGCAACCAAGGTACATGCCCCTGACCGGAATTGAACCCGGAACCTTTTAGTCTGCAGGCTGACGCTCTATCCACTGAGCCAAACCGGTTTCGGCCAATTACTGATTCTTTAAGACTCAGCTCCCATATTGTCACCCATGGAAAACTTTGTAACTTGTAAACATGATATAGAGTGTTTTTACAAAGTGCTCTATGTGGTATCTCAAAAATAACTGAAGGAATCAAGTAGGAGGAGGTGTCCTTTGATTGGAAAGGAAAGTATGTGTTCTGGGCTTCCAAAAGTAGTGCCTATTTCTGTGGAGTGGTTCTGTAAAACTGGAGTCCAGGGTGCCTTAGGATAGAAAAGGGGAAGTGGGACCAGACAGTGCAGACCCTGGCTGGCACACTCAGCAATCTGCTCTTCACATACCCATGGTTACCAGGCAGCCACAGAGGTTCTGTAAGGGGGGAGTGATTTTTGCATTCATTCATCTCCTACCGAACACTGACACTCTAGTTCCTATTTGCTGCTTCCTGGTCTGACTTTTCTTCTCACACCAGGCTCTCAAGCCCATTCCGTTTGGATGCTCTATGGATGCTGGGAAGGAGGGGGAAATGAGCTGATCCAAGGGAAACGAGTAGAAGGGCTGAGCTGCCAAATACCACACAGTAAGTAGGAAAAAGAACTCAAATTCCAAGTATCTTTCCTCTCTGCCCAGGCAATCAATTACCCTTCCCTGAGCTTCCTGTATCAGAGGCCAGGTCCTGGATCCTGGAGTGGGCAAGAGATATGGCTCTAAACGTCCAGCCTGAAGGTGCAGATTGCACATCAGAAGACCATTAAGGGCAGAGCAAAGAGTAGCTGCGAACTCTAAATAGGTGGAGGAGTCTGGGGGGCTTTAAGAAGGGGAGCATGGAGCAGGCTTAGGAAGATGAAGCAGAACTGGGCTGGGGAGAAAGTGAGATGAGAACGACCCATGTCGCTTTGGAGGTGGAAAGTGAAACCTACACTGCAGTTTTCCCAAGTGCTTTTAGTCCAGTAGCCTGTGTGTCAATGGCCTTGTGCTGCTACCCACGAGGCTCCTGTGCCTTGGCAGAGGCTGTGGGTGGGAACAAGGGCCCTGGGTTCCTGTGTCTTTCTTCCTCTTGTTTGTACTAGGGGCCACCTTTCTGGAAGCGAGGATGTCTGGGTTCCAGCTTCTTTGCTCTCTAATCTCCCCAGACATAAATCACAAGTGATTTCATTAAATGCACCTCCTGCTGGGGATGTTGGCTCATAATTCCTCTCTGATTAACCCCCACTACCCCGGCAAGTTTATAGGCCAAGCATAGGAGGGGGTATAGGGGAGGGGGGAAGGAGGGTATGAGGGGAATCCCAGGCCAGTGATGGATGTCTCTGTCAGCCCAGCTCATATTTATTAATAGTCTTAATACGGGAAGCAATAAAGGAAGAGAGGGATTCTATTAATTAAATCATTGTTATAATTAACTTTCATTAAAGGAGGATCAATAAAGAGGAGTTGAGATGGAGAGAGGAGAGATCCATTATCTCTAATTTTCTTGGAAGGGATTCAGGGAATGAAATGGGGTTGCTAGGAGACAGCGATGTGAGGGAAGAAGGAAGGATGTAAGATGTCATTCAGGGGGGTGGATAGGAGGGTTTCAGGTGGATAGAGGAAACGGGGGGTGGCAGTGGCCCACCCAGGGGCCCTAAAGGGAATGAAGGGTGGATAAAGGAGCTACTGGGATAGTGAACAACGGGGCTACAGGCATGGCTCGTACTGGGCATTCCTGAGGCCTTGATGAGCTTGCAGGTCCTTAATAAATGCTTTATGATGCTGTCTCTGTCTAGCCTGTGAAACTGGTTAGAATGGATGAATGTGTTTTTGTGACTGTGGAGTCAGACTGCGCACACGTGTGAGGAAGGCAACAGAGGAAGAGAGGGAGGTAGAGATGGGAAGATTATCAAATAGTCTTTAGGGGTATGGGGTTTAGGGCATTTTTTATAAAGTGGATACTCAAAGGTTTCCCTCTTGACAGGAGTAATGCCTGTCCTTTGGCCCAAGGTACAGTGATGGCTGCTATGGAGGTGAAGGTCTGAGTGGTGGAAACCACCCTTGCCTTCCAAGGCATGCACTTTGGCCCTATACCTGAGTCCCACCCCGGGACTAAACCCTGAGCAAGCCAATACCAACCCCCAGTTTGCTCCTCTTGCACTGCAGTATTCTCCAAGCCAGACCTCCACTGGGACAAAGGTTCCTCCCTCCTCCTCTTCCCCCTTTTGGCCAGCACAGCACACACAATGGGATAAAGCCGCCTGAAGACCCCTCCCCCGAGGCCAAAGAGCCAGGTGTCTGGCCCTTCTTTGCTCTAGTCACACCTTATAATAAGAACACATTTTATTAGAAGAGTTATACATACCATATAAATATATTTGTCCAAACTACAGGTATGGGGAGGGACACTGGGGAGAAAGCTCTACTGCTACGGAGAACCTGGAGAGGGAGGAAGGGCTGGGAAGTGGGAGAACCTGGGAGTCTTTGTTCCCCCATCCCTCACAGAAGGCACAATGCATTATTTCTTTCCATGTGAGGACTCTGGGGTGAGGGGGTTGGCATGGAGGGGCAGAAGATAAGAGTACAGAAAAACCTCAAAAATACAAAAAGAAACCTCCAAACTTAACATCTAATGGTATGGAAAAGGCTGGGGTGGAGTGTGGAAGGCAATGGGGCAAAAGGGGGGGGGGCAGTAAGAGGAACCAATGAAGTTCAGAACTGAGAGACCTGAGGAGGTCATGATGTCCATGCTCTGCCTCAATGCAGGCCCCAGAGGAGACTCAGGGGAACAAACACAGACCCCAAAGAAGAGAGGGTAGGGTACCCCAGGGATTGGCTTTGGGGCATCAGAGACTGTGAGTGTGTGTGTGTGTGTATGCACTGGTGGTGGTGCTTGCAGTAGCTGGTGAGTGACCGAAGCAACCAGGGCTAGGAGGGGTAGGTTCTCCTCCCCCTGGGGAGGCCTCCTCCATTCTGGTTTCTTCCAAACCGCTTTCAGGGGGTAAATTCAGCCATTCTTCCATGAAGGACCCCTCCCTGGACAAAAGGGCTGGTAGGAGAGGTGAGGTTGGAGAGCTTGGAATAAAAACGGCACACGGGAGTGTTTCTTAGGGAACAGAATATCATGGAGCCCATTGTGTTGGAAAAGAGGCATGAGACCTAGATGTGTGTCTGTGAGTGTGTATATGTGTTTAAGTGTGTGTTTGTGCTTGTACTAGGGAGAGGAGAGATCACTCGAAGGTGAAGGGGTCCTGGGTGCTGAAGAAGAAGTGTCCATCCATGTGGTCCTCCAGGGCGTCCTTATCACTGTCAGCGGGGAAGCGCTCCCTACAAATAGGGCACTCCTTCCATGGGGGGGTGGCGGGGCCCCCAGTGCTGGCCTCTGACAAGGGACCTACTGCAAAGCCACTGAAGAGAGACAGAGGGGAAAGGAGAGGGTCAGTGTGCTTTGTTGCCTTATTGACTTGCAGACCTCAGGGAGAGGGACTCATGCACCTGGGTTCCCAGATTCTCCTGTTGCTAATACAGCATCCCAGTAGTTCTCTCTCTCAGAGCCTCTCCCATAGCATCTTTCTCCCCACGACACTAGGGAGTTTCCCGGTTCCCTGTGCCCTCTTTCTTGAGTCCTTGCTGGTCCCCATAGTGCAGAGCCCATCCCCCAACCTCTTGCTCTCCTCCCTCCATCTCTATCTGCTGCCTAATGGAGCTGAAAATGAGTCTGACACTGTCCTTCATCTTCCTGCTCCAGCTAAGGATGACAGCATACCCCCACCCCACCCTGAGCCCATCTCACATCTGGGCAAAGCTGGGGACTAAGTGATAAAATCTCTCTTCCCTCTGCCTTCCCCTCTTGACCTGCAAAGGGAAAGGAAGGCAGAGGGGGCAATCTAATATCTAAATCCCCCACCCCTGGGGCTTCACCACTCAAAGGGCCCCCCAGGGAAGTGAGGAAAGACACAGCATCTCAGGGGTGGTCAGATGGATCTGGATCCCAGCCTCCTCGTTCTTGCCCTGTGGGCTTGCTCTCCTACTTCCCTTCCTCCCCCGATGGAGTCTAGGAACCTACCTGGTGGAAGGGGTAGGGGGGTGTAGGACAATTTGGGGTCCATGAATGATGGTGCTAGAAAACAGAAGCCAGTTAAAGGCAGGGCCTCTGAGTGCATGTGTGTTAATAAGCTGAGGGGAGGGATTACCTGAAGGCACCTGGGGTTTAGGAGAGTGGTAAATAATCTGAGTTAACCACATCTATGCCTCCTTTACTTGGCTAGGGCCAAGAAGATAGAGGCTGGGGGAAGGGCAGGGACTGTTCACCTGGATATCCTTTCTGCTGGCATTCTCCTACCTCTCCTCTGCCCCCCGTTTTTGCTCTCACCTGGCCATGTCATAGAAGGCACTGCCCAGCTCAGGAAGCAGCAGGTTGGCCTCTTCACCCCCATTCTGCACGGCTGCCATGAGGACTGACTTCTCATCCTCAGCCTCCTGGGCACCAAAGAGATAGGTTGTGTTTGGGGTAGTGTCCACGATGGGGGAGTAGCACATTGGGCAGGTTAGGGGAGAATGGTCCGGGCCGTGACAGAGAACAGAGGGCTACAGTAAGAGCGGGGCAGGAAAGGTGTTTTGAAAGGAGCAGGTGGATAAGAAGAAAATGAGTTGGGGAGTAGGGACTGGCTATTGAGTGGGATTGGGTTGTGTGGCGGTGTCCATTGTTTGGTCTTGGAGAGAGGCTGGGCCTGCCTCCTCTCCCCCCCAAAAAATGAGAGCCCGAATGGCTGTCTTCCTGCTCTGGACGCTGGGCCACTTGAGCTTGGCCCTACCCCCTCCTCCCTGCCCCTGCTCACCGAGTCAGAGCTACTGTCCTCAGCTGGCCCTGAGAGATGGGGAGCGATGGGAGCTGGCTGGCTGATGACAACTAGGGGAGAAGCTTCTCGTGGCCCAGGAGGAGAGGAGCCTGGATTTCCATGTTCACACAGGCCATAAGGTGGGAGCCTCATGTCTTCTGGGGACTCATCCTCCGAGTCAGTCAGAGCTGCCGGGCAGCCTGTAGGTGAGGGAGTGGGAAGAGAAAGAAGGAAACGTTGTTAGAGGGATGCATCAGCTCTGACTCCTATTTAAAAGATACAGTTAAATTAGACAAGGGCCAGAGTCTGGGAAGAAAAAGGAAAAATACAGAGGGCAGAGGCAGCTCCCAGGAGGTCACATGGAACTTTCCCCAACAGGGCAAGGTGGAGCAGGGAAGAAGTGTCACAAGATTGGGGGTGTCGTGTACTGACCCAGCCCTGCAACTGCCTCCTCATCCTCTGTAGCAGCATCCTCATTCCACTTCTCATCGGCCACCTTCTCAAGGCGGGCCTCCAGCTTTCTCATGTACTCCAGCAGTTCCTGGTGTTGGGGAGAAAAGAGGTGCAAGGGGATGGAAAGATGCCAACCTTGCTGACCTGAAGAAAGAACCTTCTGCGTTCAAGATTAACTCTGAGCTCTGAGGATTAGACACCTTCACCAAAGGTGGGGAAGCTTAAGGTAGATCCTCACAGCCCCCAAGGGCCCTCCTTCACCCCCTACATCATCCTTTCCCCAGCAATCATCTTGTCCAGCCAAATCAGCTGATCCTGGTCCCGTTTTTAGCCTCAGGGTCCTCCGAGGTACCGGTTCCTAAGCCAAGAGAGACAGTTTCTAGTCCTCAAGCCCTCAGTCTGGCCACCGGGGAGCTCTCACCTGCTTCTCCTCCTGCAACTGCTCCTTTTCCTTCTGGAGCACACGCAGGGCTGACCGCAGCTCCGTCAGCTCCCGCTTACCCTCTGACAACTGCACCTGAGGAAACGGCCAAATGGAATAGGAGCCTAAAATGTACCTCAAAGAACCTGGGTTCTGGGACTGGGACCCAACAGCCTAGAATCATGTCTCTGTGCCTTCATTCCTCCCTTGCTCCAACACACACAGGGGAAGCCCCGACACTTTTTCCATGAGCCCCTTTCCTTGGCCACGGGAAGTTCAGACTCTGCTTCAGGAGTGTGGACCTGAAGGACTTGGGCCGGGTGCAGGGGCATGGAAGGGGCAAGCCATAATTCTCCTAAGTCATCACTACTAGGCCCAAATGTGTGTCCTAAGAGCAGAAAGGGACACTGCATGTTTCAAACCAATGAAGGTTGGGAGATGTGCAAGTGCGATGTTGCCCAATGTATAACTGAGCCCCTTGCACTTAAGAGGGGCACTGGCCCCAAGAGGCCATAGGACCAGGACTCGGGGGTGGCTGGTGCCTTACCAGGCTAGCCTCCTTTTCGTGGGCCAGTTCAGTCTTGAGTGCTTGATACTGGGTCCTCTCCTCCTGAACTGCCTTCTCCAGCCGAAGTATCTCTGCGCTCAGCTTCAGGATCTTGTCCTTCTCTGCCTAGGAGATGGCCAGGAAGAAAATGGGAAGATGAAGGAAAAGGGATGCCACGGCCAATGGCACCGCCCCCCACTGTGACCTTCCTCTACTTTTGGGAGCGATTTCCCCTTCTTGCCTCCCCCACTCCCTCAAAACCGTGAATGAAGGAAGGGACCTGAAAGCAAGGGACCTTGCTGATCAGTAGTGAGCATTAGGGCAAGGGTCTGGTGCCTAGAATGGTACCAAGGACAATGCTACAGAGATCAGGGTTGGGACACTCTATTTAGGGATGAGTCACACCTGGAAAATGAAGTGTTTCTCCCTCACAGCCCCTCCCCACCTAAGTTTCTTGAGATCCCATTGCCCCTTTTCTGTCTTCCTAGGAGATCTGACCACATAGAAGCAGGGGTGATGGCTGTGAGCTTGCCAGGTCCCTCCATCCATCTACCTCCACACTCTGCAACATCCCTGCCCGTTCCTTGCTCCACTGGCTTTTTTCCTCCTTCAAATGCAGACTGAGCTCAGCCAGCCTGCCGTTGACTCCAGCCAGTTCCAGGCGGCTGCGGTGTAGTTCGGCTATGGTGCGATCCCTGGCTCCCGCTGCGCTGGCCAGCTCCTCCCCAAGCAGGGTGGCTTTCTGCTGGCTTGAGGCTGCAAGCTCCTGGGCCCCTCGAAGCTGCTCCTTCAGGGGCTCCAGCTCAGCCTCAGAAGAAAGGAAGAGAGGGAGATCAGGGCTCCCAGAAGTCATTGTGAACCAGGAAGATATTAATGAGGCTACCTCCTCCCCCACTGCATTAGGACTCAGGGTTGGGTTGTTTAGTTTTTAGTCATATCCTTCCCCAGACTTTGTAGTGAGTCCTTGCAGCTGTCTCTACTTGTGGCCTAGAGGCTTCACTCACCACCCGCTGCTGGGCCTGGCTTAGGGTGTCCTTCATCTGAACCAACTTGTCTTTTAGTCGCTGGGTCTGCGCACCCTGCTCCTCCTGCCGGCCCTTGGCCTCCTGCAGCTCCGAATTCAAGCGACGATTCTCCTGTTGTGCCATTTGGAGCTCAGCCTGATGGAGGTGAAGAACAGGTAAGGAAAGGGGTGGCCAGGGAGGTGAACCACTGTGATGAGAGGTCAAGGTTCCTTTCATTTCTCAGATTTAACACATACTCAAGCATTCAGCTTTCTCAGCTCAAAGCGACTCAATCCTGAACATCCAGTCTCCAGCTCCCGAAGTGAGGATCCAGCGCCACAGCTTAGGGTCTTACACAGCTAGGTAGCCCGTGTCCCATTTCTGCTTCTCCACTTTTCCTTTTAAATAAAAACTCAGTCTAGATGTCCTCCAGGTCCTGCAAACTCAGCATATTCTACCATAGGCCTTTCCTTTCTTATTTCTAATTCAAACTAATTCCCAAGTCACTTAAGCTGGACACCCTGGTGCTACGCTTGGATCTGCTCTCTCCCTAGCAGCCCATAGAGAGCCCAATGCTTCTCCATTCTCCATCTTGTTCACATCCATTTTCTCTTCTATTATCGCCACAACATGTTAGCTCAGGCTCTGGTCCTGTGTTGCCTGGAGTACTGAAAAACCTCACAACTAGCTCATTTTCCACAAGGCAATCTGATTAATCTTTGAGTACATGTCACCTACTTGAAAATCATCGATGCCTCTCACTGCTTACAGAAAAGATTAAACTCAAGATCGTCTACTATCTGACCAGGGCTTATCTCAAACTCTTCACTCACATATTCAACTCCCCTGAGTGTTCTGACTCTAAACCTTTGCTAATGTTTTCCTCTGTTTCTAGAATGGCCTTCCTTCATATCTGTCTACTCAAATTCTACCTTGTCATCACTGCCAAGCAAATGATTTTTAAACAACCTTCTACAGAAGCCTAGGATTCTGAGGAAGTCATTTAGAGGTTATGAAAATATTTAATTTAAACTTCAAATATTTAAAAATATTAAAAATTATGTGAAAAAATGCACACACAAGTTAACACACTGGAGATCACCAATCCACTGACATGTACTTCCAGGTTAATTCAATTCTTTTTTAAAATATATTTTTATTAACTTCAGAGAGTAAGGGAGAGAGAGAGAGAGAGACAGAAACATCAATGAGAATCACTGATCAGCTGCCTCCTGCATATCCCCTCCTATAGGGGATCAAGCCCACAACCTGGATGTGCCCTTAACCAGAAAAGAACCTGGGACCCTTCAGTCTGCAGGCCGATGCTCTGTCCAAACAGGTTAGGGCCAGGTTAATTAATTTTCATGTAAATCTTAGAATAAAGTTTCTATTGAAGTGAAGAGCAAAATGAGTTGCAAGGTTGACAGTTTAAAAACTGTTATCAATTTGCACTTACTTTGTGTGACTCAGGTGTTCTCAATATTGTACAACTACTGTATAACAAAATACTGTAACTAGACACTGAGGCTGACAAAACAGTCATCCATAACCTCCAATTTCAAAGTTTGGTATCCATCAAAATTACCTAATTGCTTTTACTATCTTATACATTGAGTGGCCAGATTATTATAATCTCTGAACGCATAATAATCTGGCCACTCAGTGTGTGTGTGTATGTGTGTATGTATAGAGGCCTGGGCATGAATTCGTGCATGGGTGGGGTCCGGCTAGGCTGGCCAGGGGGAGGGAATATGCACGGTTCGCCGGCCTGCCTGCTGGTTGCCTAGTTGAGGGGACAATTTACATATTAGCCTTTTATTATATAGGATATAAACTGAGTGGCCAGATTATTATGCATTCAGAGATCATCATAATCTGGTCACTCAGTGTATGTAAATGTTATACTTTTAAATTTATAAAAATAAACTTACAGTAATGAAATACTGTTGTTATTTATTCAGTGAGGTTCCACTTAAGATATAAAACTTCATTGATGGGGGAGAAAAGGTTCTGCTGCTAAAAAAGTTTAGAAATACTAAACTAGTTTATGTCTCCCTTTTAAAAGTCCTTTCTAATGTCCCTAACAAAATGCGCTCCCATTCATCTCTGTGGAGCATCATCACACTTTATGACACTTCCCTGTTGTTACTTCCTATATTCCCCTTTGACTGATCCTGACTTATGTTCCCCAGGAGAGTGTACACAATGTTTCTTTACATTTTTATTGCCCTTCGTGCCCAGCACTCGAGAAAGAATTCAATAAACAGGGATGAACAATTGAGAAAGCAAACCAACCCTGGGCCCTTACCTCGCTTTGCTCCTTGTCTGCTTGTACTTCCTTCAGTTGCCCAAGGAGCCTCTCTTGTTCCCGAGTCAGGGCCTTCACTGTGTCTCTAACCCTGTGAGTGGGGGACAGAATGCCAGGTAACCAACTGGTCACCAGAGAAGGAAGGACGGAGCTCCTACTGCTGCTCCTCTGGGCCCAGACCCTACTTCTCTCTGGGATGCTCAAATCCCAAACTGAGTTCCAAGCCCAAAGTACCCAAGACTCCTGATTCTAGAGCACAATCTAGAAATAAACAGTTTTTCTTTTCTCTTTATATATCAATTTAAGGAATGTCCTGTCGATGGTTCTCTTATTGTTTTCACTCAATTAAGAGATCAGGATCCAGTCTTTTCTAGACAAGTGACAGTCATTGTTGATTGTAAACTTTTGGTCTAGGTGAGAAGTTGGCAGACTTTTTCTGTAAAAGGCCCAACAGTAAGTATTTTTGACTTTGTAGGCCATGGGGTTTCCATGGCAACCATTCAACTCTCACTGTAGTGAGGAATAAGCCATAGATAATAAGTAAATAAGTGAGCATGGCTGTTCCAATAAAACTATATAGGCACTGAGAGTTTAAAATTTTTTAATTTATTGATTTAAGAGGGGGGAGGGAGAAGGAGAGACCGAAAAGGTGGATAGGAGGAGAGACAGAAAAGGGAGGGAGGGAGGAGAGACAGAAAGGGAGGGAAGAAAAAGAGAGAGACAGAGAGACAGAGAAGAAAGAGAAGAGAGAGAGAGAGAGAGAGATGAGAGAGAGAGAGAGAGAAAGACTTCAATTTGTTGTTCTACTTATCCAAGTATCCCAATTATTGATTTTTGGATATGCCCTGATAGGGTATCAAACCTGCAACCTTGGCACACGGGGATGACGCTCTAAGCTACCCAGCCAGGGCATGAACACTGAAATTTTAATTTCCCTTATTTTTCACATGTCAAAAATATCTCAACCATTAAAAACTCAAAATCATCTTTACTTGTGGGTTGTACAAAAACAGGTGGCATGTGAGATTTGACACATGGGCCACTGTTTGCTGACCCCTGGTCTAGACAGTCCCTAATCTTTTCCAGATGTTCAGTCTGATCCCTGCTTTTCTATTCCATGATTTAGAACCTAGACATTTAGTATCTCCCTAGGGCAAGACTAACATCCTGAACTGAAGAAGCCTCAGGGGTCAACTCATTTTTACTCTGGGCCTTGGACCAAATGCCTCTTTCCTTTAAAGAGTTAGAAAAAATAACAAATCTACCAGTACTGAATGAAAGAAACCTATGCTATTCAGCAGAAAAAAGAATTAGAATATTTCTCTTGAAGAACAGGCAAGGTCAGTATTTGTGTTACTTGGTAGAAATAATAGCTGTCTGCCAGAAGAAAGAAATTTATTCTGTGTGGCTTCAAAGGTCTAAGGCAGGACCACAGTGTGAAAGTTACAGAATGGGAGAGCTGAATCAACACAAGAGGTACAAAAAGGACAGCTGTCTAGTAGTAAAGAGGCTGCCTCCTGAGGTAGTAATCTTCTCTTACATATTGTCTTGAATACCTTACATTACTCCCAATGCTAAAAATCTATGATTTATTCCATTTTTCAGGGCAGAGATTCCATAACATTCATGGATCACCAGTTCTATCATTTCCTAATAGTGAGATCAAAGTCTAAGCTTATTCTTTGCTATGGTAGGATCCTAAATCCATCCTTTGTTGTGTTAACTGTTCTATCCATTTCTCTTTTTTCAAATCTTCTACTCCTAGCTCCTGCTTAGCCTTTGCTACACAATAAATGGTAGCTACAATTAATTCTGAAGGTGAGGAATACAGAGTAAGTTAGGAAAGATGGAAGAGAGCGAAGCAGAATAAAATATCCTCAGTCAATGAAATACCCTAAGAGAAGTTGAGAAAAGACAGAGAAACCACCTGAGAAAGAGCAGTTTGTGTGCCTGTAACAGGAAGCTGGAGTTCCGGGGTCATAGGAAATGTAATGGGGTACAGGAAGGCCCCTCACCTGTCCAGCTCCACCTCCTTTGTCAGCACTTTCTCACTGATGGTCTGGATGTCATCTTCCAGTTCCAGGATGTGTGCCACGTGATCTCCTTGTTGCCGGCTCAAGATGTCCCTCTCTTCTGTTAATTCCCCATGGGACCGGGAAAGCCCCTGGAATTAAGGTTCCCCCAGAATAGAAAAGTTGAGACTCGTTTAAAAGAGTAGAGCAAAGGATTACAAGGAGCATACCAGAGTTTGTTCCAAGCCTCTCATCCAATAACCTTTCTTGAAAAAGACACTATAAGGAAAAATTCCCTTACCAGCGGACACACCTACCCCAACCCTACCTCAGCATTCCTGTGTTCAGAGAACTGAGTCTTTTACAAATCTGGGACACGTCTCCTGTCATATCAAATTTAATCCTACTTGTTACACCTTAAGCCTATTTCTTGGATGTCAGAACCATCGTAAAAGCCCACTAAATCTCCCTTTACCCTCTTTTCACTGGGTTAATATTTTGATCTCGGGTGAGCAGCCAGCCCTGTCCCACCCTGATCCTTGGGCAAATCCCACCTTGTATTGCTCTTTCAGTTCCGCGTGCTCCTGCCTGGCAGTCGCCAGAGCCGTCTCCAGCTCCTGTACTCGGCTCCTCAGCTCCGTGACCTGCCCCTCCAGCTGCAGCTTCAGCTGCATCAGGTCATTCCTCTCTTGCTGGCTCTCATCCAGCTGGTTCTACAGGGGGCAGGAGGAGAAGAAGGTGTGCTTGTGCAGCACCATCCCATCACTCTGCAGATTCCTTTCAGGATTGGGAAGATACATCAGCATAGGATACAAAGAGGCGAGTTGTGTGCTACTGGAGTCTGCCCACCACCCACCACGCTGAACTGCCCATTCCTCTAAAAAAAATGTTTTTATTGATTTTAGAGAGGGAGAGAGGAGGGAAAGGAGAGGGAGAGAAAAAGAAAAACATCGATGTGAGAGAGAAACATCAATCGGTTGCCTCCCATTCGTGCCCCAGCCAGACTGAACCCCCAACCTAGGTATATGCCTTGACTGGGAAAAGAGCTGGCAACCTTTTGGTGCACAGGATAACACTTGGTCAACTGAACCACACCAACGAGGACCCCACTCCTCTTTCACTTCTTTTTTTTTTGTTTGTGTTTTTTTTTTCTCTTTTACTTCTTCCCACTCAAGGGCTGGCCCCTCCTTGGCTCAGCAATTGCAGAAATCTGGTAGAAATCTTTCTCAATTCACACAGACAAGACAGATGGCTCCCCTAATTTTAACCTATTGGTTCTGGAGTCAGACACTACATTTAAATCTCCAACACAATTTTTATGAGCTATGTGACTCTGAACAAGTGACTTAACTTCTCTTAATCTCTGTGTCATCTGTAAAGTGATCCCTTAGCCTAGGTCTGTGGTCAGCAAACTCATTAGTCAACAGAGCCAAATATCAACCGTACAACGATTGAAATTTCTTTTGAGAGCCAAATTTTTAAACTTAAACTTCTTCTAACGCCACTTCTTCAAAATAGACTCGCCCAGGTTGTGGTATTTTTTTGGAAGAGCCACACTCAAGGGGCCAAAGAGCTGAGTGTGGCTCGTGAGCCGCAGTTTGCCAACCACAGGCCTAGGTTGTTGCAAGATAATTGTAATGAGATTGATGAATATAAAAACAGAATACAGTGTAGAAGCTTACGTATCTCTGACTAATGTAAGATATAAACATCTTCCTTTTCTTGTGTTGATTACATGTTTAGAAGGTTCTAGAGGGCTGGAGTTTATCTAAATCAAAGACAAGCTACTCATTCTCTTCTGACCTTCCTCAAGCCTGTCCTCTTGTCTGGGGAGTGTACTCCCTCCCCACCTAGCACTGGTCCGCACCTTTCTTCAGGAAGTCTTCCTTGCTAACATCTGTCTCTACTCCCTAATTCTTCTCTATCTGGTTCAATAGAAAAATAATACAAAAAATATATAATTTAAAATTTTAGAGGAGACACTTAAGAATAAAGTACTAATAAGAAACAGATTATATTAATTTTAATAATATTTTATCTAACTCACTATCAAAACTATTATTTCAACGTATAATAAATATAAAATTATGGAGATCTTTACACTTTTTTTTTTTTTAAATTACTAGGTCTTCCCAAAATCTAGTAAGTATTTTACCCACATAGTACATCTCGATTTGGACCAGTTACATTCCAAGTGTCAAGAGCCACATGAGGGTAGCACCTCCAGGCTAGGACAGCGCAGGCGGGGCCCTATCTGCTCTCTCTCCTCACCTGTCCTGGAAGTGGTTTTCATCCTCCCTTTTTATGGTCCTTCCTTCACTGGAGCGGCCTCCCTCTACGCTTTGTATCTCTAGGGCCTAGGGCAGGATGTAGCACTTGAAGAAGAAATGCTCAAAAAGTTGTTATGGAATCTTGAGTAACGTTGGTTTGTGGGTGGCTTGCTTCCCTGCCCTACGTGTTCATGTCTATGTTATATTGAGACTTTCTTGAAGGTAAGACTTAGTATAACTCCCAGTGGGGTCTCCAGTTGAAGCTACAGCTGAGAGGAGGGTCTAGTGGGAAGGGCCCCCATGCAATGCTGTCCTCCCACTCCCCTGCTGTTGCTCTATTCTCACCTGCAGCACAGTTGCCTTGGGGACAACCAGCAGGATGTCAGAGCCGCCATCAGTCTCCTCAAGAGTCACCAGTTCATCCATGGGCCTTGGCTCTCGAAACTGGAAAGGGGGGCTCTGTCCACACACCCGGCCCTGGCGATTCACATATCGAAACTGGTAAAGCTGAGCTCCTGGTTTGGGCAGGTAGCTGGCTGTGGGAAAAAGAATGGGCCCAGGACCACAGTGTGAGCCCAGGCCCTCCAGTGCTCAGCAGGTCCCCTTGGTGTATTTTATTATCGACTCTTTGGCTCTGGTCCCTTGCTTTCTGTTCCATATTCTGTTTTCTCTCCTCTCCACCTCCCATAGACTACTGCTGTTCCCTGGGATATTCTTCTTGCTCTTTTCTGCCTAGTCCTTTCTTTCTCTCCCAAATCTTTCTTCCTCAATAACAGTAATAATAATAATAATAATATTTATTGAGTGCCCACCATGTACCAGAAACAGTGTTAACAGTTTTCCCTATGTCATTTAAAATCCTTTTATTAGCCCTATAAACCAGGCATCTCATTTTAATGTTAAGCTAATAGAAACATAGAGATTAAGTAATTTGTCCAGGGTCAAACAGCTTATAAATATTAGAGCTGAGATTTGAACCCAGGTCTTTTAGAATCTAATGACCACCTTCTTCTCAATATATGGCACCACTTTTCCCTCTTCCCTACCCACCAGTTCCCCCTTCTTTCGGTAGGAGGTGGAATTAGTTGCACTGCACAGATCCTGCCACCTCTAAGTCCTTGATTCTATGACAACTCCATGTCTTCTGATATTTTTTTTTAGCTTATTTTTCCTTGTTCTCTGTGCCTAGCTTTATGTTTCTGAGCCCACTTCCTTTTTCCAAACCTCTATCCCCCTTGACTCCTCCCTCCCAGTTCTCTATCTCCCCTTGTACCTTGGAACTGGACACTGGCATGGACGGGGGAACCATCAGTTGCACTTTCAGGCACCGAAGACCACACAAACGTGTGGTAATCTCGCACACAGGCAGCCTCCACCTGTGAAAATGCAAGGTGAGAGAGAGCTATGGTGATGGGACTACCAGCTATAGATGGCAGAAAGGGCCGAGGGACTGAATAGGAGAACAGGATTGTGTTACAGTGGCAAGGATGATGAAAGCCAGGAAAAGTGGGGGGATAATAATGTGTAAAAGAGAGCAAAGCTAAGATGGGGAAGATGAGCTTTGCTTATATAGATAACTCTCTGCCATCTTTTCCCTTCTTCTCTATCAACATGAGCTTGAGAATACAAGAGCCTAGTCATTCTTCCTATTCCAACCAACCCATGGCCCATAAACTTGTGCCGAAAGGGACTCCAGGTATACCTTGAAGATGCCAATCCAGTCACTGGCACTTGGCACGGTGCCTGGGGGAAGGGTGTAGTGACATTCCACCTTCGTATTGGGGATGTAGGTTCGGGCCACATTCAAAAAGCTGACTCCTCCCCGAGATGGTACCCGGCTTATTGATGATTCTTCCATCCTTCCCTTGTGATATGTGCCCTCCTGTGAAACAAAGAGTTAATATCCTAAAGTATCTCAACGTAATTTTCCCCCCTTCACCTCCATCCACCCCTACACACAGCCCTTGCCATTATACCTGGAGATGAAGTCATATTTAGTATTCAGTCCCTGAGGGTTATAGGTCCCTTTTAGAGAGAGGGAAGAGATAGTTCAAAAAGAACTTAAACATTCTTCTCTTCAGGCAAACTGGTTTGACTCTTAGTCTGCAGGACCTAAGTCTGGCATTCCATGTCAATCCTGGCCCTGTCTCACACTACTCCCATTCTAAGTCATAAACTCTTCCTACAGTTAATTTTGCTTGCTTTTCACTGCCCCATTGATCAAGTCTCAGTATCCTAAGCTCTGTCCTCCTCAGTCCCTCCTTTCCCATCTTTTAACATCTTTGAGGATTCCAAATTCTTTAGCCTCCATGTTGGCATCCCATCCCCCACATCTCTGGTTCCTGAGTTAAAAATCCAACTGAGGTGTGGAGCCCCCTCATTCTGAGGTCTTCTTGTGTACGCCTGAGCTTGCTGACCCAACTGCACAGGAATGACTACAACACCTGGAAATAGCAACAAATCTCTGAAAGTAATGACTGCATCTCCAGAGCTAAAACATGGCTGAGGGTGGAGGGACAGCCCAATCCTCAGGGCCATGAGCTCTCATTCTCTCCCCTTCTCTGAGCTGTCTAATCCCATGAATTAAAAAAAAAAAATCAAACAAAACAGCTTCCACTCTCATCTAAGAGACAAAGGGAAAGGGAGGATATAAGGAAAGACAGGTTCTGTCCTCAACTTCATTAGTTCAGGAAGTCAAGAATTCTGGAGGCGGCTGCTATAAGGGTGGAGTGAAACACTGAGCAGGAACGTGGTGGTGTGGGGAGATGGAATGTGGGGGCCTAGAGCCAGGAAAGCCCCACCCCTGGGCAGGGGACAGGCTGGAAGGTGGGAAGTAAGGAGCCCTGAGAAGGGAAAATTTACATATAATGTTGAGAGAGGGAAGAGATAGTTCAAAAAGAACTTAAACATTCTTCTCTTCAGGCAAACTGGTTTGACTCTATGTAACCCAGTTCTGGTATATCACTCCCTATTTTCTCTCTGCTCCACTCGTCTCAATTCTAAGTGTTGAATTCCTCCATTCCTCCACCTGCTTGGATTGATAGCTGGAAGCACACTATAGGATGAAAGTGAGAGGAAGAGGTGTTCCAAGATAGGTGGGGAGAAGAACAATAACAATCAACAGAACTCTTCAGCCTAGGGCTGTGAGATGGCCCTCCTCATCCACTCTCTAGCCCACTGATCTGCATCCTGTGTCAGCCACAGCCAACTGCCTCCAATCAGCCAGAGCCACCAGTCATGTGCACACCCCCAAACATCACAACCCCACACCAGGTTGAAGTAAGGGGGTAGGAACTTTAAAAGAAGAAAGTCACTCATCAGAGAAGGAAAGGTGGGCCAGCAGTACAAAAAAGAACTTTTTAACGGAATTGAGGAAAATAGGTTTCTTTAGATTTTAATCTCTCTTAAAACATCCCTAGTTGGATTACTGCTCGATCCCCAGTAAGGGCTGTGCAGGAGGCAGACTATCAATTATTCTCTCTCCTTATTGATGTTTCTCTCTTCATCTCCTTTTCTCTCTGAAATCAATAAAAATATAACAAAAAAAAATTAGTTCATGTTTTCTTCAAATACAATTCTCTGGATTCCTAAGGGGGCATATATTATCCCAAAGATCTAAGCCTGGGGAATCCCAAATACTTGCCACAAATAAAATTCTTAAGAGTTGGAAACATTCTCCAGGCCTGAAAGAGAGCTCTGTACGTGTGCAGTCAAACTGAAGTGTTTCGCAAGGTGGGATACCACCATCTCACTCTGTAAGGCTCTAGAGTTCCTTGACGTTCTACACCTTGCAAGGTTTTCCCCGAGCCCCGCAGCGAGTCAAACGTAGCAAAGGCCTTTGGATTGGAGAGGGGTGTGGGGGCGGTAAGGGGAAAGGGAAGGTTGTGAGGGCCAAGTCTTGCATGGGGAAGAATGAGCAAATAGTTCAGTCTCTCCCCAACTCCCTTAAGCGTATCAAGCTTTTTCTGAGAAGGACAGAGAGGAAGGTGAGAACAGTGAGGGGCGGTATCCCTTTGATTAGGGCCCCCCTTCGAGACCAAGAACTCCCACGACAGTGGGGCTGGCTTCTCCCGTACGGAAAGTATTAAAACTCAACCGTTTCTGCAACCCCTTCCTACAGTCCCCTTAGTTTATCCTTTCAAGGACTGAAAGTGGAGTGACTCCCCATAAGATCCCCCCAAATTAGGCCAAGTTTCTTACCCCACAGACGGATCAGCTGTTCCCTTACCTTTCACCAACAACAAAAACAGCACTCAGACTCCGAGAGGGGAGGGAGAAGAATGAGCGCGAGGACTTCTGGGGTTTGTGGTTCCTTCACGGTCTTTTACTGGGGAGCTGACTTGAATCTGGGACTACATATCCCAGGAGGCTGTTGGGCAAGGAGGGCGGAGAGGAGGGCGGTCGTGGCGGCAGCCTCACCAGTGCATTCTGGGAGACGTAGTTCTCACTTCCATGACAGCAAACGAGGGTGTGGCCATCAAAGGACTTCACGGCCCATGATTCTTTAGGAGGGGGCCGGCTGTATTAGTGGTGACTGAGGGTTTGTAACGTGCGTAGTTGGGGGGTGGGGAGGAGTTAGGGCTTTAACGCCCGCTGTGTAATACTTTACAGTGGGACGAGCGACTTCAGATGCACTCTTTCGTTTACTTTTAACAAATTTTGAGATAGGTAGTATTGTTTTACACACTTTATTGAGGAGTAAACTAAAGTGGGAAAGGTTAAGGAACCGGTTTAATATATCAAAGTTATGAGATGGTAGAACACCAGGCTTGCATGTCTGTCAACGCCGTGCTTGCCACGACTTCACAGCCACCTGCCATTTAAGGGATGGGAAACTAATGGCTGTGCTAGCAGTTTCTTCTCTGTTTCAACCTCAGGGACAGGTTTCTTCTCTGTTTCAACCTCTCAGCCTTGTAAAAAACTACGTGTTATGCACCTCTATTTATTTACTACTTGAGGGTTTCAGTGCTGGGCCTGCCAATAAACCCCTGGACTGGGTCCCCCGAGAGTGACCTAGGAAGAGGGTCTATTGCCGGAGGGGACGGTGGGGGCGGGGTGGGAGGAAGGAGGTGAAGTAGAAGAATGAAATTGGAAGGGGAGCCTGGCGTAATTCAGGACCGATCACAACCCACAAACAAGCCACTTACTGGGGCTAGTTTACCCAAGCCTTTAAATTAATTAGGATAACAATACAAGTTGTTGCTCCTGTTTTTGTTTAGGAGAGTTGAAAGAGTCACATTCCTCCCACACCCCAAGTTACGTCAAAAACTTGGGCATCATGTCCTCTCTGGACCCTCCAAGTAGTCAGGCGTTCTATGATCTCTTTCCCAGTCTTTGTGTTGGGGGATTGATTTGCTCTTTCTGGGTTCCTGCTTATTCCAAGTTTTTTTTGCGGGGTGTATTTTTTGTTGTTATGACTGAATAGGGTGTCTGGTGCCTGCCCTGTGTGCCTTTCATCTGAAGATCTCCAAGCACTTAACTATAAGTTACTGGACTTCACAAACACTGAGACACATCCGTATAATTAGTCAGGATTTATGAGTTACAAGCCATTGGATGAGCTCAAGGTCCTGGGGTAAGTTAAGCATGAGGTCCTCTTACAAAACAAAAGACTTGAAAAAAAAGAAAAGAAGAAGAAGAGGAGGAGGAGGAGGAGGAAGAGGGGGAGGAGGAGGAGAAATCCAAGTCCCAAGTGTTCTTGGTTTATGTCTTACATCCAGAGTAAATGCAAGGGAGAAAACTCAGTCTCAGTGTCAGTCTCAATCTCAGCCATGGCTGAAAATAATAACTTCCATGTATTGGGTGCTAACAATTATGTGTTTAAACTATGCTGAGATTTTCTGTTTAATACAATAATAGCCTTATATAATAACTCTTCCCTCATTTTACATATGATGAAGACTGAGGCATAGAATATTAAGTGAATTAACTGATTTGCCTAGGGTCATCCTACTAGTAAATGGTAGAATCAGGATTCAAGCATAAGTTGCTAGTACACCATAGTAGTAGTAGTAGATACACCATACTCCCACCCCAGAAACTCCTGGTATATGATACTAAATTCCATTGTTCACTGTTAGGGTCAGACATAGAATAGTGTGGACTAACTATAATTATAAGAAATATTAATCATGTTCTGTTAACCGTGATTGTTCTATCCTGATTAGAGAAAGCACATTCTAACCTGGCTGAAAGTTGTAGACCCCAGACATGGTAGTTTACATCAGAATGCAGTCCAGCCTTTTCTGAGAACTACCTATACAATCTGGTCCTGGAGGTACCTGCCATTTGCAACCCCCAGCCCACACTGCCTGGTTCAAGCAGTGACAGGCATCCCAGACCCATTGGTTGTCCAGTTTCAGAACTGAACTGTGTTGTTAATCAGGGAACAAATGTTCACTGAATATTTATGTGCAAGGCATAAGGTTAGAACAAATTCATTTGACAAATACTAGGTATTCATTACATTTGAATTCATTACATTCATTACAGGTACTATACTAGGTATTCATTACATTTTGTTGAAAGGATGAAAGTATAGATAGTTGAAGGATGAATTGGATTTGGATAGTTTGGCAGGACAAGGACTATGAAGGATGAAGCAGGTTGAAGCAGATTCAGATGTTTACTAGAGGTCACTTGAGAACAGCACATCAATTTTAACTTCTTTCCTCCTAAATTCAGATTATTGGTAATTGCTGCCTGAAATATTATGTTGAAAAGGTTCACTTAACCAAATAACTTAATGTCTATTGAATTCTGGGATTAATTAGTAATGTCTGTCACGTAATTCAGATAGAAAATGGCAGTTGTAATAGGTTGACTTATTGTTTGAAATAATTTCCTTCCTTGCCCATT